GAGCTGAAACCAGCTCTCTGACATTCCCCAAGGAATACCCAAATTGGGAGAGGGTAGTTCTTGGGTGATGCACCCTGAAATTGTGCTCCCTCCTCTCTGGTTCCCGGTGCATCACCCAAGAACCACAGCTGCCAAGTCACCACTTGGCAGCTCCTGCATAGAGTGTCTGCTCCCTGGTAGTCAGTGCATATCATAGCAACCAGTCAGATGGTCAGATGGTTGGATGGTCACTTAGGCTTTTATATATATAGATGTAAAATTACATAGACTCTTACATGCTAGTGGTTTCTAAAGAAATCAATAATAATTTCATTAAGAAAATTATGAGTTTATATTGGAGATTTATAAGAGATAAAATAGTTATCTAATTTTCTATTGCACCTCTGTAAAATAAAAAATAAGAAAAAAGAAATCCCCACATTTTATTGTAAATGAAACCACTGTTGGGTATAAACAAAGTGTGGATATTTTACAATATTAAAATATTGTTTCTGGGGAGAAGGGAAAATGGGTTTTAGTTAATTGATGTTTTACTATAATACATAAACCAGAACTCAAAACAAATTTTGTTCTCTCTCTTGTCCCAATACATTTTCTATTTTCTGCTGAAGAACAACAGACTCATCAGAAACTTCATCAGGAATTGACAACCTTCTACTTTCTTTCCAGGCTAATCCTTTATTATGTTCTTAATGTGCTCAAAACTAATCTCTTAGGTCACCTGAGGACAATGACCCCACTTTCAGATTAACCAAGGCAAGACACAGGTGATTCTGTCATCGGAGGGAGAGGCCTCTGAACTGGTAAGGTTAGGACTGTCCACCTTAGGAATCCAGCAAAAGAAAGTAGACTAATATCAAAGAGAAATAACTTAGGCCAGTGAATTTTTAATAAGTCGAAAAAAGAGAACAGGGAAATTTTTGTTTGTTTGTTTGTTTGTTTGTTTGTTTGTTTTACTCGCCCTCAAATGTGGAAGTGTAAGACAGGTGAGATTCCACAGTAAAGTGGGTCCCAGCCTGGCTTCACCCTCCTTCACTGTCCCTCCTCAGTTTTTTCAGATCTGTTCCTTGCTAACCACTGGCAGAACTTTTGGGCAAAGATAGTCTCAATTTACATGCACAGAAACAAGTTTACGTCAAAGTCTGCACCTCTTTATGTCTCTGTACCTGGAGTCCGGTGACCAGAGAGCATTGATCACCCTCAGGAGCCACTCTTGCCACCACCCATCTTCTCACCTACTTGCCTCTTATCACTACCCTCTTCCTCCTCTAACTCCTCTTACTTCTTACTTTTCCCCTCCCTCTTAACTTTTTCCCTTACAACTCCCATTCCAGTGTGTGTGTGTGTGTGTGTGTGTGTGTGTGTGTGTGTGTGTTTTCAGGGAGTTTATAAAAACTCCCCAATACCTTCAAATATTTTGCTCTCTCTTAGCTTAACCAGTGACTTTCAACCCTGCCTGCATATTAAAAGAACTTAAAAGGAAAAAGTGCCTTAGCCATGCCCCTACAGAGCCTAGGGTCTAGCCCTGTTGTGGTGAAAGACTCAGGAGAAGCGACAGCCAGCACCCAGAGGAATCGGGAAAGTAAAACCTTTATTACGCAGCGCTGTTAATGCAAGGAGACTTTGATCCAAAGCCTCAACTGCCAATGTGGGGAGGTTCTGATATGTATCTTCTTGTGCCGGGCCCTCAGGATGGGCTTTCTAGCTCCGCCCACGTCAGTTAGAATGGGGAAGTAGGATTGCTGTTTAACTAGATACTGAACTAGGCTGCAAGCCCCCAAAGTTGCCCCACTATCTTCCTTCTCAGCCCTTGCATGGTTGGCTTGGTTGTTTTAGTCTCCCTAAGTGACTTCAATGTGGGTCTAAGCTTGAGAACCACAGCCATAACTAAAACCCGGGTTTAGTTATATCTCCCAGGCAAACACTCTACCTTTGCCTCTTTCTGGAGATCACAGTCTTCCACGCCTGAATACCACCAGACCAGAAAGGGCAATGAAGCTCAAGCTCTTCCAGACCAAATTATATTTATTTCCCAGGGGGCACTTCATTGACATACCCATGTCTCCTCTACCCGCCCCCACCACCCTAATCTGCCTGAATAACTTTTATATTCATCAAAATTCAACTAAAACATTACCTTCTCCATAAAAATCTAAGACAAATATCCATTTCTAGTGTGTGGGGAGCAAATCATAAGAAAGTTTGCACATACGTAGAAAGTATTTTATATATATTTCTGGTCATCTACTAAGGATAGTATTATTTGTCTCCAATTTCTATATAACTGGTGACCCAGACCTTGGCTGACAATCCCATCTGTTCACAGTGGTTGAGATAAGCAAAGTAATGCAGTCAAAGGTGCCCATGTCCCAAACACCTGTAACTGTGACTGACCTTGCATGGCAAAATGGAATTTGCAGGTGTGATTAAGGTAAGGCTCTTGAGATGTGGAGGTTATCCTGGATCATCTAGGTGGACCCAATGTAATCACTGGGGCCCTTATAAGTGAAAGAGGCAGGCAGGAGACTCAGTGTCCGAGTGATGCAGCACAAGAAAGACCTGGCCGTCTGTTACTGATGGAGGGAAAGCCAAGGAATATAAGCAATTCCTAGAAGTTGGAAAAGGCAAGATTCTCCCCTAAAGCTTCCAGAGGAATACAGCCCTGCTGACCCCTTGATTTTAGCCCAGTGAAATGCATTCAGATTTAGAAGTCCACCAGGACTGTAAGACAATAAATTTGTACTGTATTAAGTCACTTGTGGTGATTTGTTAACCAGATACTGAACAAGGCTGTATCTAGGAAAGTAATACAGTAGCTGTGAAAATGTTTCCAGAGTACACTCATATCTGTCAATACATGCTCTCAGCGTTGAGTTAATGTCACCTCTACTGCAGTTATTGTAGAATAATCCCTGAGAGACTTGATGATGACCTGGAGTCATAACAAGACCCTCGATCATCAGTGAAAGAATAAGCAGTTAGAACCCCAGTACTAGCCATACTTGATTATGAAAAACATATAACCCATTCCCCACATAGACATAGTGTTGTCAAGCACAAAACAAAAGCATGGAATGATGCATGGTTCTTAACTTTGGACCCCAGCTACACTTGAGCAGCGTGGAGATCCTGGGATTCTGGTCCACTCGTCATCAGTCCTGTCACTCTCTTGTGTTTCTTTCTGAAGGCTACCAGACTTCGTTCTAGGGCTAGGACCCTGAGGGTGAGAACAGAGGGAAAAAGGAGAGAGAATAGAGTGCTTCCCAGTGTTCATTCTCAGGGTATGGGCGATGCAAAATCATTAGATTTGCTGCATTGCCCAGATTGCAGCCGGCACCTCCTGATGCTCATTATGTTAAAAGGTCCTTTGTTCCTGACTGTCTAGGGGAGGAGAAAGGGAGAAGAAAAAGAAAAACCAGCGTATTGGTGGTGAACTCATACATATTTTAGAACGGCTTATTAAATTTTAAAAGGGAATTCCGGTTAACCCTAAAGTAGCCGGACATTTTACAAAATCAGTGTTCCTCATTTTCTGAACTTTCTGATCAATCAGTATTTTAGCGTACAGCTAGCTTATCATTTTGGCTTTAAAGCCATTTTCTTTTCACTACTGCAAAATGTTGTACCCTTCCTTCTCCCCACCCAAGCACGCAGTCAATTGAGGGAGTCATAGCGATCAGAAAGATGGGTATCGAAATGTTAGCTTTATTTCTGCAAACTGTCTAGAGAACAGCTCTTACGTGTGGAGCAGCAACAAGCTTTCCAATGCAGCAACTCTGTACTAAGCAGAATGGCCTACTCACTTACTGTCACCTAGCAAAAGTGACCTAGCCCCGGAGGCAGAGCTGCCCTTAGTCATATCTCAATAAAACTCCCCAACAGGCATGCCTGCCATCTCCCCACTTCAGCTATCCCAGAGAGGACTGACACCTGAAAGCCTCTTCTAAGTGAAAGAAAGTGAAGCTATGCTATTATTAAGCTAACTAATGATAGCTGGAGAAAGCTGAAGGCAAGCTCAGCAAGAGCTAAGTAAAGATCCGTCGCTCCAAAGCACGCATGGAAGCAGTGGCCTCCGTCTCAGTGTGATGGCGCACCTTCCGAGTGTGTTCCTGGCAATAAAGTGCGCACATTTACTGCTGATGGCAGCTGTGTTTAGAGATTAGGGCTTGTTCAATGTTTTCACTACCCCAGCATTATTCTTACTTTTTATTTACTTTCTTGAGTGGGAGATAAAGGGAAGGAATTACATACAGGATTTGAGAAATTTACACATAGCCCGGTCCAGCAGCTCGTAGTGAAGGACCTTCCGGGGTAGCATTAATAGTTGTGGCAACTGTGAATTATTGAAATGCTTGTGAGTTTTTTATTTTCCTCAGGGATAAATTTGAGAAGGTAAATGGAGATTTTTTTTTTATTAAGGTATTATATGTGTACATATCTTACCATTGCCCCCCCACCCCCTTCCCATACATGCCCTCACAAACGGAGGTTTTTTTAAATATCAGCATGACACATGAGCAAGAATTACTACACACTTTTAGTTAATCATGGTGAAGAACTACAGTGTCAAGGAAAAAAAACAGAGCATGTAATGAAATTTCTGACTTTTTTTTCAAGGATGATATTAATGGCATTATAAAAAGTTAATGAACAGAGTCTATGTATCATAATTTAATCAGTAACATAGGGGAGTTTTTGTTTTATTCTGCAGTTATATATAGTTGTTCCTTAAGCAGTTGGGATCCAGAAAAAAAATTAGAATTTATTTTTTAAATAATAGTCACAATTTTTAAAGGCAATTTAGCTATACATATTTACTTTTATTATAACATAATCATTTTGAGATTTATTTAATGTGCTTATAAAATGAATTTATGAATACTTTTATAAACAGAGATTTCCCCCAGTCTAATGGCACTTTTTCTTGTGTTTTCCCACCACTAACCTCCCAGCTTGATGGGGTTTGTTCAATTCTGAAACTATTGTATATTGTGCTTGCAAATTGCTAAGAAATAAAATAAGAAACATAAGTTCTCTTTTCTACTGTGACATCGTCTTAGGAAAGCTTTAGTGGGGGGGAGGGGCCAAAAACAAGATTTCCCCTGACCAACCAATCAGTGCCCTTGCTAGGTGATTGTGACATAGGAAGAGTAACCTCCAATCAAAGAGAAGCCCCAAGTCTGATTGTTAGTTGGCAGTATAAATGTGAGGGCTCCTCCCACTCCTGGACCTTTCTCCTCTCCACTCTGTCAAGGAGAACAACATCTACGATGGCCAGATCCACCAACAAAAAGACTAAGAGATCCCGAGGACATCGGAACCCAAGCTCCAGAAAGAAATCCCGTCCCTGCACTGATTTCAACCGAAATTACTCACTCTACATCCGGAGGGTCCTGAAAGAAGTGGATCCCCAGAGGAGCATATCAACTGGCACCTTGAACATCATGAACTCCGTGATCAACAGCATCTTTGAGCGCATTTCTACGCAAGCCTACAATCTGATGAGCTACAGAAACCGTTGTACTCTCACCCATGGAGATATCCAGAAGGCAATGTATATGCTGTTTCCTGGGAAACGAGCTAAGTACGCAGTGACTTTTGGAAGTGAAGCTGTCCAAAGATATGTCCACTCCAAAAACCATTTTCCAGCTTAATTAAATCTTGGGGAAAGTAAACCAAACTTACCCAAAAGATCACTTCAATATTGAATTCACTCTTTTTCTTTCTTGCTTTTTTTTTTTTTTTTTTTTTTTTAGAACATAGTTGTAGTTCCTGGTATTTTTCCTATTTCTCTTCTCTCTAGAAAACAATTATTCTCTTGCTGTTTTACTTTTTAACAATTTTACTATTTAGGTTTTCCTGACACTGCTCCCAACCAGAACTCTTGTTTTTCCTATAAATGTGTAGATCTTGTTATGTAAATTCAATGCTTGTTCAATTGTTAAGGTATTGTTAACTATGTAAAGGATGATTTAGTCCAGCTAATTTGACCCTCAAGGCACACTGACTTTGTATTTATGAAGATAAATGTTTTAATCAGAAGTATACCAGCATTGGTAAATTTTCATCAAACTGCATTCAAACCATTTAGTTCCTTAAAGAAGTCTATAGAGCATGTTAATTATTCCCTTTTCGTTTTAACTCTTATTTTCTGAATTTCAACAAGCTCAGTCCATATCCATGTAAATTTCTCTCCCATTCCTTTGTTTTTCATTGTACTTTTGCTACCTTTATATATGTCTCTACATTACAGGCTTATTTTTTAACACTGAAGCCATACTACGCATGTTGTTCTGCACCTGCCTTTTCATCAACATTATTTCTAAGATTATTTAGCTTTAGTTCATTCTTTTCACTCCAATACTATGTAGTATTTTGTAATATGAACATACCACAGCTTATTAATCCATCCTCTGCTGGTGTAGGTTTGGGTTGTTTTCTATCTTTTTTGCTATTATGAACAATGCTGCTATAATAATGAGTTGTAACAAAGGCTAAGGTTTATATAGCATTTGCTATGTACCCAGCATTTTACATAAATTAATTTATTTAATCCCTGTAACAACCTTACAAGAATTACGTAAGTATCCCCTCCTACAGATGAAATGGGTACAGAGAAATAAGTGATTCGTCTGAGGTCACACACCTGTGTGAGTAGCAGAGCTGGGATCTGAGCTGGTTAACACAGCCCACTTTGGACACACATTACATGCTGTGAACATTTTTAGACATGTATTTTCTGGTACAAATGTACAAAAGATTTCTCTAGGTAAAATAGCTAATAGGAATAGCTGGATCATTGATATGCCCATATTCAATTTTACTAGACATCACCAGGCTGTCTTCCAAAGTGTTTGTAGCTATTTACATTTGCAGTAAATGAGTAATTTAGACCCTTCTGTTTACCAGGAACACATCACTTAAGTTTCCTCAAGAAAGGGAGGGTTTCCCCAGGCAGTGTTCCTCAGCAATTTGGCATCAGTCCATGAACCAGGAGGTTGCGATTCGATTCCCAGTCAGGGCACATGCCTGGGTTACAGCTTGAGCCCCAGTAGGAAGCTTGCAGGAGACAGCCAATCGATGTTTCCTTTTCATGGATGTTTTTATCTCTCTATTCTTCTTCCATCTCTCTAAAATCAATAAAAGTATTTTTTTTTAAAATAAAGAGTGTTTCTTGTATGTATATACCAGGATTGGATCTGAGACTATTCTAGGTGTCTCTCACTTAGGGCCTACCCTCTAGTTTTCCTGGGGTTGATCCCTTCTAAATCCCTCCTTCTCAGATTCCCAACAAATAGACCTGGCAAACAAACCTATTGGAATTCACTTACATGAAATGCCACAATAAAATATTACCACAACAAAATATGGTTAAAAAGGTTTTTAGGTGGGTATTTTTATATACATGCATGTATTTAATCCGACTTGTAGCCATCCCATTTCAGTTAGACCTAGGAATCAGCAAATTAGAACCGCTGGGCCAGATCTAGAAGCAGCCCCCCCCCCCTTTTTTTTTTCTGTAGCCCCACAAGCTAAGAAGTTTTCTCACAATCTTACAGGGATATTTTTAAAGAAAATGAACACAAGAACATTCAACAAGCCTAATGTGTCCCACAAAACCTATGATTACTAACTGTCTTTTTACAGGAAAGCTTCCAAGCTCTGGAGCATTCACAAAAAAAGTTTTATTATAAATAAAGGTATTAAAAGTTGGGTGAAGGGAACTCTAGAGGACTCTTCATGTGTTAGTCTCTTTACTTTTGTGTATGTTTTGAAATATATTAATAGAATTTCAAAATAAGATCTAGATTCTTGGAAATAAAAATGCAAGTCTGATTATATAAATTCATGTGTGTAAAAATACCCACATCTATGATAATTTAGGCATATTAGTATGATAAAATATATATAACATAAAATTTACCATTTTAATCATTTTAAGTGTACAGTTCAGTCACATGAAGTACATTCACATTGTTATGCAATCATTACCATCATCCATCTCTAGAACTTTTTCATCTTCTCAAACTAAAACTCCATAAACAATAGCTAGACATTTCCCTCCTCTCTGCATATTAAGGATGGTAGAGCAGAAAAATGATTGAACTCCCATCTAGCCCAAGACTACCTATGTTGGCATAAGAGAGTAATATATTTCTAACTTGTTTAAGCCAGTTACTGTTATCTTGGGTTTCTATCGTTCATAGTCAAATCTAATTCTAATGTAGACATCCAGAAGATTATTGACTACTAAGAAATTCAGTTAGTCTGAAAATGATTGTATGCTTATTAAATAAAGACATATTAATCTAGAAATGGAGGATGATAAGTGTCCTGTATATTTACCAGATGTTGCTATAAAATGAAATCTCATGCCATTTAGCAATCCTTTCTCAGAGCTATATTAATACAGATAGCAAGAGCTTGCCTGTTATTAGTCCAGTGGACAAATGATGTGATTTTGAAACACTACTTAAAATACAAATGTATGTGAGAGATTCAAAGAAATCAAAAGAAAATATACAACTAAGCCAACAACATGACCAACGTGGATTCTGTGATAATCTGAAGATAGAAGTATAAAGTAATATAAAAGATGTTTCACAATAAGAAAGAATAGTGCTGATTTTGTAATATAAATCACCCAAATAATAAAATTCTAGCAAACTTAGATTATCCTCTAAATTTAGAAATCTTATTTTAGAAATGAATCATATAATCTCACATAAATATATGCTATCACTTACCATAACTTTTTAAAGTTGCTATGCACACTATTAGCTTGTTCTTGTATGGACTGAATACGTCAGAAAGTACTGGGTAATAGGAAAGTACCATTAAGTATATAATACCATACATATGGTACTTATAGTTCATTTATGAATTCACAGAAATGCCTTCATTGTGATAAGATGCTGGGAAAAAAAGATAAGGTCTATCCTTTTAAAAGCTTAGAATCTAATGGAATAAAAACTGAAAATAAAGTAAATTATTGGGAACAGCTTATATACACTGGGTCTAGGCTCTGAAGTGGATATTATTCTAAGTGTTCCATTTATGTCAACTTAATATAAAGCCCAAGGTAACACTTGAGAAAAGCACTATTATCATTTTACAGTCAGGCACAAATGGCTAAGAAACTTGCCAGAGGTCGTAATAAAAGAAACGTGACTGAACCTACATACTCTGACCCCAGAGTCCATAACTTAAAGCACAGTGCATGTCGCATCTCCTATAAAGAGAGAAACGTAGAATACATGGTGGAACATCTAACCCAGAAGGGAATGGTATATCTTACAGGAGATGACACCTGATCTATGTGTTGAAGGAAATGTAGGTAGAAGAAATAATATTTACAAACTCATAGGACAGTAAACAATATAAACATAAAATAATTCCAAGTTGAATGGCTGCCAACAAGCACAGGAAGAGGGAGGGTGGAAATGAGTTCAGAGAGGTAGGAAAAAATATGTGGGCCGTCTTATAACTTGAATTTGATCCCAGTACCTAAGGGAGATCCATGGTGGGACTTTAAGCAGGAGAAAGTTGTGATTTCATTTGTATTTAGGAAGATTATTCCAGCAGCAGAAATCAGAAAGATACCAGTTTATATGTCATTAGAGTGATCCAGGAAAGACCTGATGATGGCCTGAACCAAGTTATTTCCAGTGGAAATGAGGAGACAGAGCTGGATGTGAAAGATTCTGAGGAGGCAGAATCGCCAGGAGACATGTGCAATGTGTACACTACCCGAGAAACAGCCAACTAGCAATGCCAGCTCTAGCTCATAAGGCTTCGTGGATAAAGTCAAGACATGAGGCTCAGTTTATTTACCACTTCCGCATAAAATATCTAGACAGTGTGCAAGAGACAGTGGTAAATGGTGCCCTAAGTGGGCACCAGAGCACACATGAGTGCTCTAAGTACAGAGGATCTGGCAAATGTCAAATGACCTGGGGGCAGATGATTAGCACTTATCTAAAGCTTAGACAGAAGAGGACAGCTTGAATTTTTAATACTTGAGATCAAGCTTTATCACAGCCTTGTGTATGTCACACATCATGCCTTGGCAGATTTCCTTAGCTCTGACAGCTGATGGTTTGGAAGACATTTGGCAGTGTGGAGAGAAACCAAGAGCCTATGTAAATATATGGGAGAAAGTAGCTGCCTATAAATAGTAGGATAACCCTGGCCGGTTTTGCTCAGTGGATAGAGCATCAGCCTACGGACCAAAGGGTCCCGGGTTCGATTCTGGTCAACGGCATTTACCTCAGTTGCAGGCTCCTCCCCAGCCCAGGCCCTGGTTAAGGTTCGTTCAGCAGGCAACCAATGGATGTGTTTCCGATTGATGTTTCTCTCTGTCTTTCCCTCTCTCTTATTATTATTAAAACATCCCTTACCACCTGGCAGGCTGGCTCAGCGGCTGAGCATCAACCTATGAACCAGGAGGTCACTGTTTGATCTGGCTCAGGGCACATGCTTGAGTCACGGGCTCGATCCCCAGTGTGGGGTATGCAGGAGGCACCCGATGAATGATTCTCTCTCCTCACTGATGTTTCTCTCTCCCTCTTTCTCTCTCTCTTTCTCTCTCCCTTCCTCTCTGAAGTCAATAAAAATACATTTAAGCCAGGACCGGTTTGGCTCAGTGGATAGA